TTTTCATTCCTGGTCATACAGGTGTTGAGTTTCCAGCCTCTGGCTTCCCATTTGCTAACTCTTTGCTAGTTGTGCTTAATATTGACTGCTTTTCTGTACCTTGGCCATTTTTTTTGGTATGGTAAAAGTATGTATTAGAGTCAGAAAGACTGCCCAGCCAGTGTTGCTCAATGGTTGACCATTGACCCATGAACCAGGAGGTCATGCTTCGATTCCCAGTCAGGGAATATGCCTGGGTTGTAGGCTTGATCCCCAGTGGGGGGCATGCAGGAGACAGCCAATCAGTGAGTCTCTGTCATATTGATGTTTCTATCTCTCTCTCTCCCTTCCTCTCTCTTATATCAATAAAAACATTTATTTTTTCTTTATTGATTAAGGTATTACTTATGTGTCCTTATCCCCTCATTACCTCCCCACCCACCCCCCACTCATGCCCTCACCCCCCTGGTGTCTGTGTCCATTGGTTAGGCTTATATGCATGCATACAAGTCCTTTGGTTGATCTCTCCTCCTTACCCCCACCCTCCCCTACCTTCCCTCTGAGGTTTGAAGGTCTGATCGATGCTTCTCTGTCTCTGGATCTGTTTTTGTTCATCAGTTTATGTTGTTCATTAAATAAAAACATTTTTTTAAAAAAAGAGTCAGGGCTTAGCTGGTTTGGCTCAGTGGATAGAGCATTGGCTTCTGGACTGAAGGGTCCCGGGTTTGATTCTGGTCAGGGGCACCTGCCCAGGTTGTGGGCTTGATCCCCAGTAGGGATGTGTAGGAGGCAGCCAATCAGAGTCTCTCTCATCATTGACGTTTCTATCTCTCCCTCTCCCTTCCTCTCTGAAATCAATAAAAATATATGTAAATTAAATAGATAAATAAAAAATAAAGAGTCAGAAAGACTGGGGTTGGTATTTTGGTCCTGTCACTTATTAGTTGCTCAGAGAGAGACATCAATGAAACAGGTTCTTTAACTAATTAACTCCTTTGTGAAATGGGTGGAATAAAAATTAGATTACAAAATTTAGGTTTACATCTAAAACCTCCAGCATAATACCCATAACATAAGAGGGCTCAATAAATTTTGGTTTTGTCTCTTACAACTACAAAGCCATTCCAGAATTCAGACTCTACTGGGGTCTCTATTTTTAGTAATTTCAGTCCATGTTTTCTGCCTCTTGGAATTGCATCCCAGTCAAACCAATTTTCTTAATTAACATCATCCTAAGTTTGTCTCAAGGAAAATAGTGCCTGGATTTTACCCTGGCCTTATAATCTGCCTGGACCGAAGATCCTAACCTTCTCAGTCATTTAACCTACAGTTTGACAGCCTCCCCGTTTTCAGATGGTGAGAACTTGGAGAACACTTAATCTTGAGCGGAATCTGGGCCAGTTTCACCAGAACAAAAAGGAGGAGCAGAGCAGTGTGCTAACTAATTCAGGACATTTGGTCACTTTATCACTTTAATCCATTAATCTAATTACAAAGTGACTACCACCAAATAGTTTTTTGGATATTTTAGCTCTTCTTCTCTTCTAAGGCACCCTTTAAACCTTCAGCTTGAAAGATTCTGGATTATTTGAAGTAGATATTAAAGACTTCTTTTAAATTAAAAGAAGAATAAAATAAAATGGCAAACCTAGAACCAATAGAGGAGATGACTGATCCTGAAAAAAGGCAGAAAACTTGGAAGAAAAACCAATTAAAAGACATAGTTGAAGGCAAGGGATGGGAAGAGTAGAGTAACAATTAGATGATTATTATCCTGTATATGTGTTAATAAGCAAAAAACACAACTGTGGACAATTATTTCCCTGTATTGAGTCTACATTGTGGTGCATATTATTGATTTACTTGTTCAACAAATAGGTATTATGCATTGACAACATGACTGGCAATATGTAAGGTGCCAGGATTATAATAAGGAATAAGATCAAGTTTATAGTCTATTGCAGTGGCCAAAAAACTCAAATAGGAACTAGCAACAGTGGTCACACATAGCATATGAGTTCCATGTATGGGTGTGAAATTCAAAAATCCAAAAATGATGGGAATGATGAAGCTGAAGGAGTAGCATCTCTGTATTAGATGGGGCAGCTATTACTCAGCTCCATCTGATTTTTGCCTTTTAGGGATGTGTGGTCTCCTGTTGCCAGATTTAAAAAAAATTTTTTTTAATTTTTCAATTACTTTACATTCAACATTATTTGCATTAGTTTCAGGTGTGCAGCCTAATGGTGCTCCTTTCTTAAAGTGTGTTTTAAAACATTTTTAAAACAGATTTTTAAAACATTTCAAGAGAAACCAGAATTCTGATTTTTATGTGAATCTATTGCTTAATTGATATTGGCTCAAAATTTAAAAACAAACAAAACAGACACTAGTTTGAAATTCTCTAGTTACAGAGGATTTGTTACTGGTGAAAGTATGAATGAGCTCATAGTTTTGAAATAGTAGTAGGTGTAAGAGTAGAAATTGTTACTTAACCTGTTCAACTTGATTTTTAAAGTTATGATTCTGTGGAAGCATAAGCAGAGTCAGTTGATACAGAATTATAAATGAATATCCTAAAATGGCAACTTAGATTATCAGAGGGTGTACACTCTAAACAAAATACTTGGATATATAAATATAATTTTTCAGTTCTATATTTATGGTGGTCATGATTACTCTAGTGCACATGAAAAGCAGAGTAATGGGAACTGTTAGCACAGGGTGAATATTGGAAACATAAAAGGAGTTGTCTGTTTTCAAGCATGGTTTCTATCAGCTGCAGCAGTTTCAGAAAGTTTTCTTTGTCCTTGAGACCCTCCTCCACATCTTGTTGGATAAGCTCAGTTCCTATATTCTGGCAAGAAAGCCTGAGTTTCTTAATTTGTCTTCATTACTGTGTCAGTCTATGTTAGGTTCACCCTGATCCTCTTAGCTTTGCTTAAATATTTATTCTTTGTGCAACATCACTCTAGATATACCTACTTACATTTTTCTCAATCTCATCTGGACTCCTCCTAACCTTTTAAAAATTATTTATTTTTCACTTTTAAATATATTTTTATTGACTTTAGAGAGGAAGGGAGAGGGAGAGATAGAAACATCAATGATGGGAGAGCATCATTGACTGGGTACCTTCTGCACATCCCACACTTGGGATCAAGCCCACAACCAGGGCACATGCCCTGGCCAGGAATTGAACCTCGACCTCCTGGTTCATAGGAGCCACACCATCTTAACCTTTAATAAGTCATTATCTACTATTGTCATTTATACGTATCACTTATATGTCTGATCTTTGTTGAACAAGAATACAAATGTATAAGGGTAGGTACTGTAATTTTTATATATCTCCAGGTTTGATTTGCTAGGAGGACTTACAGGATTCAGAATATAGTCATACTCACAGCTTGATTTATTACAGCAAAAATATATAAAGCGAAATCAGCCAAGGGAAAAACACACGGGGCAAAATCTGGGGGAAATAAAGCACCAGCTTCTGAGTCTTCTCTCACTGGACTCACACAGGACACACTTAATTCCTCCAGCAATAAGTTGTGACAACACATGTGAAATGTTGTCAACCAGGGGCACTCATCAGAAACTCAGTGCCTGGGTTTTTGTTGCGGTTGATCATGTAAGCAACCTCTGCCTAAGACTTACCCAAATTCCAGACTCCTAGAAGGAATATTCAGGTGCTTGGCATAAATCATATTGTTTGCAGAAACAGTTTAGGCACAGTCAGCCACTCATCATTTAGGGAAAGTTTATATCAGTGTAGGGAACTGTTTATTATTCAAATATGAGTTCAGAAGAGCTAAACTATTTGCTTAATTTCACATGGCCAACATGTGAAGGAACCACGTTTTAATATTTATTCCCAAATCAGGTGTTTCTCTACCACACATATTGTATTCTTCCTAAATAGGTATTGCCTGTCTAATAGGTTAATGTTTTTTTTTAAATATATTTTATTGATATTTTTACAGAGAGGAAGGGAGAGGGAGAGGGATAGCGAGTTGGAAACATCGATTCAGCTGCCTCCTGCACGCCCCCTACTGGGGATGTGCCCGCAACCCAGGTACATGCCCTTGACAGGAATCGAACCCGGGACCCTTGAGTCCGCAGGCCGACGCTCTATCCGCTGAGCCAAACCAGCTAGGGCGGTTAATGTTTTATAAATGGAATTTGCACCAAGTATGTAAAAAGGAGGTCGAGCAGTAGATTTTCTTTATGATTCTAGATCCTAGAATTCTAGTTCTAGAATTTCTAATTTCTAGCTTCTTAAGACCCCAAGAAAGACTGGAAGTCTTAGAGAGTAGAACTTTGGCACCAGTGCTTGCTTTCCGTTTATATTCACTCCTTTTGAAAGTGTATTTATCAAATATAACAAACGAATACAAAGATGATCTTTGCCTCTGAAGAGCTCACAATCTAATTGTGTTTAACTGTAAAGAAAATATAAGGCAGAGTGAGGTAAATACCATAACAGAAGTACATAATAGAAGCAAATGAGAAGAGTCCAGAGCAGTGTGATACAAGTCAAAAGAAGAGTTAAATGATGTTGTCATTCTTTTAATATACTGTTCTCTAGACAGTACATATTGAAAGTTGCATATTGCTAATTTTGATACAAACGTAAGGTAGCATTAACACGGCATATTCATAGATTTAAGGACTGGAATAAAAGCTTACTACACTGCTGCTTCGTTTGGCTTTAGACTCGCAGTGGTTCTCAACCTTCCTAATGCCGCGACCCTTTAATACAGTTCCTCATGTTGTGGTGACCCCCAATTTCATCGTTACAAATTGAACATAATTAAAGCATAGTGATTAATCACAAAAACAATATGTAATTATATGCTTTCCGATGGTCTTAGGCGACCCCTGTGAAAGGGTCGTTCGACCCCCAAAGGGGTCGCGACCCACAGGTTGAGAACCGCTGCTTTAGAGTTTAAAAAAAAAAAAAAGCTGACATTCTTTCGCAGACTGTTGAGCTTGGGTCTGAGATTTCCTAGGAACTACCCAGCAAGTGGTTTCGGTTCCGCGAGGAAAAGCTCGGGCAGAAGCTTTCTGGCAGCACCGAAGGCTGGCCAGGCGGAGCTCCTGCCCGCGGGGCTGGTGGGTGGGTCTGCAGGTGGGGCGGCCGGGCAGGCTGCGCCCCGGAGGCCAGACCTTGCCTAGGACACTCGGAACGCAAGGTAGACCCGGGAGCGGGAAGGCAGCTTCCTGGCCCCAGGCCCGCTGGGGAGTTCTGCGCAAGCGCGTTAGTCGTGCGACAACCGTCACTTACGGCCGAAACGGTTTGTGCGGGGAGTTGGCGGCGCGCTGCAGCTCTTAGGGACGGACGGCTCGGGCGCGGGTAATCAGCTCCCTTTCCCCCTTTCTCCACTCCTTGTAGGATCTGGGGATCATGGAGCTTCCGGACCTGATGCGGGCGCCGGGTCGTGGACTGCCTCTCCCTGCTCCGCTACCGCTCGGGGTGATCCCGCGCCCAGGTGGGGGTGAGGGGCGGGGTCGGGGGCTTGTCTGGACTCCATCCTGGCGTCTCCGCGTTGCGATCTCCTGGGTAACTCGTGCTTGCTCTTGCTTTCCAGGACTGGTATCCGGGGACTGACTCGCAGGGTCCGCCATGGAGCCAGAGCAGATGCTGGAGGGACAGACGCAGGTACCCGGAGGCCCTGGGTTCATGGTGGCGGTGTGCAAAGGGTGGCCGAGGTCTCTGACCTGTGTTTTGTTTTCTAGGTTGCAGAAAATCCTCACTCCGAGTACGGTCTCACAGATAACGTCGAGGTAACTCGCCCAGTTCCTATGCCGTTTCTGTACGTCTCTTAAGAGCTGGAAAATACAAAACAAAAAACACCGTGGGATCTGTTTTTACTAGGTTGCTTTGCACAAGGGAAACTTGATCATCACGAAGCAAATACTGTCACATTATGGGTAGCTTGTTTTATTAGCGGTCCTAACACTTCGTGGTATACAGACGTACAAATTAATTTTTAGCCAAGAGGTTGAACTTGTGAAGAAACATGCATACATTGCTAGTGGAGACTTAGAATCGTTTGGCTATCTATTGGGATATTGCTTTGGAAAAACGGCACATTAAAATTAAGAAACCCATTGTCTTTATAGCAGGATTGTGTTGGTGTCGTCAGCATTTAATACATGTTGATTTCTTTGCAGAGTTCAGTAGGCAGGTGCCATTGGAAACTATAATATACACAGTAGATACTGTTTTTGCTTTACATGGTTAAGTCTGAATTCAGAGAGTACATGTGAAAAAACACACACACATGAAAAAGAAGGTAACTTTTATAGAGTTTTCTATATCAGTCCTAAGAGGTTGTTGTCTAAAAGTAGAAGTTACTTTGTAAATGAATAAGGAAGTGCTGGAACAAATGAATTACCAAGAGCTGGGTGGAATTGGTTAGGAAAACAGAGGCTTCCTTTCCTGTAGGAGATGTGTACGTTTTACTAGGAAAGGAAAGACATTACTGGTGATTAAGTTTGGATAAATGAGGGCAGAAGCATTTCTGAGGAGAATAATAATTGTAACAGCTGCTAATATTTCTTTAGCTCTTTTACTATGGGCCAGGCACACCCTAAATAATTGGCATATATCCTCAGCCCTATAAGACCCACAAGTTGAGTAACTTGTTAAAGGTTACCAAGAGGTAAGTGGAGAGCTGTGCGTTAAACCTAGGCAGGTTGACATTTTAAAAGTACAATTAAATTGTGTTGCAGATCTTGACCAAACTCCTAGAGTTTGCTGGCATGTGGAATGACTACTCTGTGCCTATAAAATTGCTAGGCATTTTTATTGCTTTGATATCAATACGGATAGAGAATCTTTTCTTTCTAATGGGTTTTTAGTTGAACTTCTGCTGAATCAGGTGAAGACTCTTTACACCACTTTGTTTTCTAGCTATTTAAGAGACCTTTTTAAGGCATCAGTGGTCTTTTCTTGATGGTGCTTGTATATGATGCTGGAGCCATGCTGCTGTAGAGCAGTGATAACAACATGCTTTTTCCCAAACCCTCAGTCCAATTTCCATGGTAAAATGAGAAAAAAAAGTGGAGTGAGTGTTATTGATGATACATCACTGTATTTGGTGATTGGTCTTCCTGCTTCTATAATTTTAAACTGCTTGTTCTTTTTTTGAATTAATGGTGATGGTAAAATAATTATGTTTGTAATTTTTTTACTTGGCAAAATAGAATTAACCCTATGTTAGTTTCTTCATTTATTGTATTAGTTTATTTCTAATTGTTTGCAATATATGAAAGTCTGGAAACCACAATTCTACAGCTGCTGTTGCCGCTTTTTCTCTTATGGTTTTCTTTTTATTGGTTTGTTAAAATTATTTTTAGGTGTTGGCTTTAGAGTTTATAGTATGCAAATTTAACTTACCACAATTAACCTTCAAGTGGTAGTATATATTTTCATTTATAGTATAAGAATTTTACAACAGCAGTTTTTCACTCATTTACTCTCTCCTGGACTTTGTACTATTGCTATCATATATTTTACTTCTACATATGTTATAACTTCTACACTTCATTATTTTTATTTTTTCTTTAAAAATTCAGTGATCTTTAGAGAGATTTAAACAGTAAGAAAAAGGAGTATTTCACGTTTACCTGCACCTTTACCATTTCTGGGCTCTTCATT